GCTGATGACCTTCACCACCCACTCCAAGGTGACTGAAAAGGTCACTCCCAAAGACCTTCCTCTAATCTGGGTTTGTTCACTGTTTCCTTCTGGGGATTCCTTTTTGACAAAGGGCTTACTCTTATCTGGGTTTGTTCACTGTTTCCTTCAGGGGATTCCTTTCTGACAAAGGACTTACTTAACACTTCCCTCTGAAAGAGAGCTGCAATCTCTACTCCAGGAAAGAAGTGCACAAACCAGATTTTCCTAGAACAAGGCCCCAACACCAGAAACGTCGCATTCCAATGACAACAGCATCCAAATAGTCATTACCTGGGAGCCTTTCGGAAAAATGAAAATCCTTCTAATTTTTTGCTGTAGAACTGAAACTTGCTCACACAGAATAAGGGCTTTTAATTATTACCAACTTAAAAGGACGTCTTGGCATAGGTTCAGATATTGTCAGGTATGATGTGCCAACCTTACACATTCTGAAACCATGAATCATGGTGGTGGTTTCTGATCTGGATTTTCTTGTAAAAACTTGAATTCCAAGGAGTTGCTTAAATGCGTAGCAGATGGGGTTGGGTGGGGGGTACATTCATGTCTTCTGAGACACAGATAAGACAGGCAAATGCTCTTCTGCTAGTGCTCTTTTAGGTCCCAGCTTTGCCAAGAAAGTCAACCTCAGAGTCACTTTTTTTGCTCTTTCCCCAGTAGAAGAGAGATCAACAGGGTCTCTCTCTCTCTGCTCATAATAGTTCAAAGACGTTATATCCTGGAACAATTCAGTAATTTTTACTCTTGTCTTCCAACTGGAGATCAGTCAAGTTGAATAAGTCCCTCTTCATCCATCTCTTCCTCTCCCCCATCCCAGCTGCATCTTCCTAAGCAGGGAAGCGAACTATGGCCCTGATTGTCTCGGGTGCCTGAGTGTGTTGTCTATTTCCACGTGTCAAGCTGTTTGCAGACCTGCGTCTGAAACTGTAGAGCTCTTTCTTTCAGCCTCTTCCCTAAACTCGCCTCTTAATCCAACCCTAATTCCACCTGGGCACTCTGTCTCTGCCCTTTAAAACATCAAAGAGCAGCTGCTCTTTCCAACATAATGGCTGTCTTTGTTATTCCTGCACGATTAGAACCTTTAAAATGTCACTTCCCTGCAGATCTCATTTGGCATAAATGAAATGGGATTTTAAGTTAGAACTTGCACTTGGAGGTTTATTCCTGGGGATCGTGTCTCTTTTTGCCTTCTGCTGGCTCACCCCTTGGGTCCAGCAGCCTGACATATAGGGCTGTCCTGCAAACCCTGGAGAGGTGTGTGGTACCTAAATCTTTCCTGTGCGAACTTACGGAGAGACACCCTGGAGGATTCTAATGCTCATTGTGCACTCAGCATAGAGAACACTGCTTTTTAAAACAACTTTATTTTATATTCAAGCAGCAATTATGGTTGCATTCACCTTAGAAATGAATTTTTGGTAAGACTGGATGCATCATATTAGATTTGCCTGATTCTGTCTTGTCCTGGATGGGCCTCTACCAGAGTCATGTCACCAAGTCCGCTTCTGTTCCGTGGGAGCAATCAACTTGGCCCCTTTGGCCTTACCAGGAGTTGGAGGCTGCATCCCAGCATCTATCTCGGATCTCAGCCTATCCCAGCAACTGTCCTGACCCTGGTCATGGCTGTGTCAGGATATGTTCACGAATATCTGAACTTGCACTCCGCAGAGGTGAGGTCTGCCTTTGCTCTGGACTCTGGGAGACAGTTACCACCCCACGCCTAAAGGGTGCCACATCTTTCAGGTCACGAAAGCAACCTTGAGAAGAAACCTGGGGCAATCGATGAGGCTACAGAAGCCTCCAGTGAAATGAAAATGGAACCATGACTGTTCACACATTTTAAAAATAAACGCTTTTTCCAAGTCAGTAACCAGGGTTCCTGAAAATTGCCTTTTTGGAGGTGAGGTGCCATGATCAGGGTGCTAATGGCTCTCAGTCACTGCTAGCAGGCCCTCCACCGAGCTCCCCACTTCTCCAGCTTCCACTTTTCCCTCCAGGTTTGGCCAAGCCAGCACATACGTTTATCTCACGCATTCCTTCTGTCTAGGAATGCTGTGTCCAGAATGATTCTGAGGCTGCACCTGGGCTTTGTAGTCAAGAAGACTGCCATTGGTCGAGAGGTCTGCCTCGAACACGGGATGGGGAGAAGCAAGATCTTTGCTTGGTCCCTGAGGAGATCCCCTGTGCTCACTGCCCCTATTAAAGAGGGACCTTAGCAGGTGATGCTTGGGACCTCAGAGCTCTCTGTGGACTCAGAGGTTCATGACAGAGAAGGAGTGTCTGGCTCGCAGAGCAGATGGCTCCACATTCAGGAGGACTTTTGGGATCTACTGGAGGCTTTTAGAATTGCTGTCAGGCACATACCCTCCCAATCCTCAGTCGGGGCTGCCCGTGTCTGTACTGTCGGTGTGTATTTCCTGGTGGCAATGAGTTCTTCACAAGCACCTTTTTTTTTGAGGCAGTTTCTTACTGGCTCTGTAACCCAGACTAGAGTGCAGCGGCCCCCCCCTCCACTCACAGCAATCTCTGCCTCCTGGGTTCAAGCGATTCTCATGCCTCAGCCTCCCAAATAGCTGGGATTATAGGCGTCTGCCACCATGCCTGGCTGATTTTTGTATTTTTAGTAGAGATGGGTTTTTGCCATATTGGCCAGGCTGGTCTTGAACTCCTGAGCTCAAGCGATCTGCCCACCTTGGCCTCCTAAAGTAAGATTACAAGCGTGAGCCACCAGGCCTGGCCACAGGTGCCATTTAATGGACATACACTTTTTCTTCAGAAGGACGTGCTAGTTTTCATTACCACTTCTCTGTTGTCAGACATCTGGATTACTGACTGTTTTCTCTTACATGAATACTGTAAATACATTTCGTTTATCTTGCCCTTTTGTAATTTTAGAATAGTTCCTTAGAATAGCGTCCCAGAAGGATTATTTATTCAAAGGAAATGTACATCTTTAAAGCTTAACATATGTATTCCTAAATGTATTTCAAAAGAATAGATCAACTTATTGTTTATCCAGTAATTTTTAAATTACTTAAAGAATTTCAGAAGTAAACAGTTGTGATTTACTGCTTGAGATAACATATGTTATTATTTTTACCTAATTACAAAGATAGAAAACTAGGGAAATATAGAATAACCAAAGAGGCAAAACATATAAATAACATTTGAAGGTCACTATTCAGGGGTAAAAGCATATGATTTCTGCAACTTACCATCAAATAGTTCAGAAAAATAATGCATATGATTTTAAAGAACATGCATGTTACATTTTTAATAACATACATATTCACACATACTATATAAAATAGATACTATCTATGTAAGTTATATAATACATATACACATATTATATATGTATATATTGCATAAAATTATTTTATAACCACATAATAAGAATTATATATGAAGGAATGTGTATGCATGGGGAGAGAACAATAAATCAAATGTTGCAAAGTGTCAAGAGCTGCTGAGCTGGGGAGCTGAGGTGAACACACGTGGGCACCGCTTGTACTGTTTTTGCAATTCACCTATACAAGTGATATTACTTCAAAATAAAAGATTAATCTATTTTAGATTATACACTTTCAGTGTTTTTTAATGCATGAAAATATCATTTTCTGCCAATTTAGGGTTCATATTATTTAGCTTTTTCAGCAGCAGGCTTTGCAAGGTCACAGTCCACCATGGATATGTTACCATGACCCCTGTATACCATCTTAAGGAGATAAACAATTTCCTTCCTGTGGAGCTTTTTAAGTTGTTTCCAATTTTTCACTAATAAAAAATAACATTTCAGTAAGTGTCCCTGGACACAAATCTTTAGTCATATCTTTGATAAATTCCCTTACTGGGGATTGCTGGGTTGAAAAACACTCCCAGCTGAAAGCTGCTAATACAAATTGCCACATGCCCTGGAAAAGTTCCACCAACACGCTCTCCCCTAGCAATGCAGGAGCACGGCTCTGTCAGTTGCTAAAAAGAGAGCCCAGCTCAAAGCAGCTCAGGTGACACGCAGGGCCCATTGTAGGCTTGTCAGGGGATCTCAGTGCCTCCAACTGGAGGAAGCACAATCTGGCCTTGTCCACCTACAGAGCCCAGGCACTGTGTGTGTGTGTGTGTGTGTGTGTGTGTGTGTGTGTCCTTGTCCACCTACAGAGCCCAGGCACTGTTTGTGTGTGTGTCCTTGTCCACCTACAGAGCCCAGGCACTGTGTGTGTGTGTGTGTGTCCTTGTCCACCTACAGAGCCCAGGCACTGTGTGTGTGTGTGTGTGTGTGTGTGTGTGTGTGTGTGTTGTCTCTGCAGCCATCCCCTCTGCTCCAGCCTCTGCTTAGTGGGCTAGCAGCTTCTCTGCAAGGCTCTGAGTACTGATTCCCCCTTCTCTCAGCTCCGGGAGCCTTTGCTTTGCTAGAGTGTGTGGCCCCACACTCCAGGTCTTTGCTGGTGAGCTGCTCTCCATGGTGAGTATAGGTCAGAGAAGTAATAGGTGGGTAGGGTAGGCTGGGAAGAGGACAGATTTCCTAGAACAGGGCATAAACAAGCAGGCAATGACCCCCACCTCCAACTCTGCATCACAGTGTTTTGTCTGCTTTCACTAATGGCTTTCTTTGAATCTAAAAAAAAAAAAAAAAAAGGAAAGAAAAAGAGGAAAATTTGATATTAAATGTTTCATTATTTTTATTGTATTTCTTCGAACATTAGCTGCTCTTAGCATTTTGTATGTTTGTTGGTGATTTGCACTTCCTCTGTGAAGGGCTTATGTCCTAGAACCACGTTTTGTGGGACTGTTTTTCCTTTATTGAACTACATGAGGCTTTCATAGAAAACCTTACCCTGTATGGTTTAAATATTGGCCCCATTTTGCCATTTCCCTTTTTAATTTTGTTTACAGTGTCTTTTGACATTCAAGAGTGTCTCAGTATATCTGGGCTACTGTAACAAGACACCTTAGGCTGGATCATTTATAAAAAAACAGAAATTTATTGCTCTATAGTTCTGAAGGGTGTGAAGTCCAAAGTCAAGGCCGATTTAGGTGCAGTGTCTGGTTCAGTGCCTGGTGAGGGCACTCTCTGCTTCACAGATGGCCCCTCTGGACGTATCCTCATGTGGTGGATTGATGAACAGCTTCCTCGCACCTCTTTTATAAGGGCGCCAATCCCATTCATGAAGGCAGAGACTTAACCACCTCCTAAAGGCCCTACCTCCTCATACTCTCACACTGGTGATTAAGTTTCAACATATGAATTTGGGGGAAACACATTCAGACCGTAGCAAGCAGTTTCCTCATTTTTGTATAATCAAATTTGTCTTTTCTTCATTTTTTAAAAATTGACTTACAGCTTACCATTTGTGGAAATGTTTCTTCCACTGCTCTTCTTGGAAAGATTTTACCTCCCATATGCTGCTGCTTCTAGTCATGTTAATTTTTTACACTGCACCCCTTTCTGGATGTAGCTGGCGGTGCCTAGCAGAGGGCACCAAGTGGGCGCTCGATCAGTAAGTGTTTGCTGTTGACTTGAATGAAGGGTAATGAAAACTCCTTATGGTCTAACGACCTTTGAAAATTATTTGCAAGGCTGCAAATGAGAATTCAAGAAGCAATGTCCTAAATGGTACTCTAGTGGCTCTCAGAGGAGCTGGCTAACTGAATTCAAACCATATGTGAAAGCTGCCCCTCCCAGGACAGTATCTTTCAGCCACTGTAGGGATGAGCTTTTTCCAGGTCTGGAAGTCCCATAACGACTAAATGAAGATTGAAGTCAACATCTTCCTTCTTCCTCTTCAGAGATTTGAATTATGATGTGCATCTTCTAATACTGATGGTTTATGAAAATACATAGCACTGATTTTTCAGGTCTTGTCTTCAAAGAGCAAAGCCAGAGCATTGTTTTACAGCAGAAAGTGGTGCCTACAAGCTCGCAGCAATGAGTAAACTGTCACTGTGAACCTTGTTATGATGTCTTTAAGGAAATACATTAAGGACGACAATGACATCATTTGTGGTAGGCCTAATTATGGTCCCTGGCCTTTAAATCCCACTTTAGAAAGCGCCCACAAACAAAATCAAGCAAAACAGCACATAATGCATCTCTAAAGACGTGCTGCTTCCACAGTCCCTCTGTGTTTTCTCAACTTTGGGGAGCAGTCTTTGATTTGAAATCTTGCTTTTTGGACCAAACTATGGAGTCTGTGTTGACTCCTCGACCAAAAGATCGTGAACTTTCTTGATTGTTACAAATCAACATTTCTAGCATTGTCTCTTTCCACCAGCATCAAAAGAGCTTGGGGTTTCTAAATAAAGTGTCTAGAGAAAACCGATGTGTGTATTGCACTCATTATGTTGTTAATAATGTACTTTTAGATGGAGTTAATATTTTATGGGCTATTAATAATATATGTGTTTAGGGAAATGCATGTATTCTACAGAAGGATGAGAAAGTTATAAACTTTGAATCTCACTTCTTTGTATCACAGGGCAGTTGTGACGTATATTTGCCAGCACCTTGCCCAGTTTTTATCATGTGTAAAGCACCTCTGCTGATGAAACCAGGAAGGTTCAGAATTCAGGAAGCTGTTTCTGCTTTCTGGCCCAGGTTGTTGCTGTCAGGACCTCTTCTTTTGCTTAACCACTACTCGTGTCCCTCACAGACCTGAATACATTAATGCTGAGATATCCACTAAAAGAACATCTTAGCACCGATGAAGAATCATGGCCTGGGGCAAGTGACTGGCACTGATCTGTAGGTGTGTATTAGAAGCCTCTCTCAGCTGGGCGCAGCAGCTCACACCTGTAATCCCAGCACTTTGGGAGGCCAAGGCAGATGGATCACAAGGTCCAGAGACTGAGACCAACTTGGCCAACATGGTGAAATCCCATCTCTACTAAAATACAAAAAATTAGCTGGGCATAGTGGTGCATGCCTGTAGTCCCAGCTGCTTGGGAGGCTGAGGCAGGGGAATCAGTTGAAATGAGAGGCAGAGGTTGCAGTGAGCTGAGATCGTATCACTGTATTCCAGCCTGGCAACAGAGCAAGACTCTGTCTAAAGAAAAAAAAAAGAAGCCTTTCTCATTTTTGCAACCTATCCATCTGACAAAGGACTAATATCCAGCATCTACAAGGTACTTAGACAAATTTACAAGAAAAAAACAAGCGACCCTATTAAAAAGTGGGCAAAGGATGTGAACAGACACTTCACAAAAGAAGATATACATGAGGCCAAGAAACATGTAAAAAAGCTCAACATCACTGATCATTAGAGAAATGCAAATCAAAACCGCAATGAGATACCATCTCACACCAGTGAGAATGGCTATTAATTAAAAGTCAAAAACAACAGATGCTGGTGAGATTGTAGAGAAAAAGAAACACTTTTACACCATTGGGAGTGTAAATTAGTTTGACCATTGTGGAAGATGGTATAGCAATTCCTTAAAGACATAGAGGCAGAAACACCATTTGACCCAGCAATCTCATTAATGGGTATATACCCAAAGGAATGTAAATCATTCCATTATAAAGATATATGCATGTGTATGTTCATTACAGCACTATTCACAGTAGCAAAGACATGGAATCAACCCAAATGCCCATCAATGATAGACCAGATAAAGAAAATGTGGTACATATACACCATGGAATACTATGCAGCCATAAAAAGGAACTAGATTATGTCCTTTGCAGAGATGTGGATGGAGCTGGAAGCCATTATCCTCAGCAAACTAATGCAGAGACAGAAAACCAAATATCACAGGTTCTCACTTATAAGTGGGGCTGAATGATGAGAACACATGGACCATGGGTTGAAGAACCACTGAGGCTGGAGGAGAAAGAGCATCAGAAAGAATAGCTAATGGATGCTGGGCTTAATACCTAGGTGATGGGATGATCTATGCAGCAAACCACCATGGCACACGTTTTTCTATGTAACAAACCTACGCATCCTGCACGTGTAACCCTGAACTTAAAATACAAGTTGAGGAAGAAAAGAAAACTTTCTCACCTCTCAGAATCAGATTCAAATGTAGCAGCAATTTCTGCTCAGAATTTGAAAAGGGTCTGCCTGTCCCATTACCTTTGACTTTGAGGAGAGAACTCAAGCAATGTTTGCTTTTCTAGATGGAGTGAGACACAGAGGGAAGAGGGTGAGAAACAGCGGGTGATGTAAGGGAAAAACCAAGCCCTGATGGCTGGTGACACTGGAGTGAGGAGAATGTCCTGATACCCGGAGGTACCAGTTTCTAGGGAGAAGAATCACGACATACCCCCGCCCTCTGGGTGCTTTCAGTTTAGTTGAAACATCACACCCTCCACGATTCCCACATCATAATAAACCTACATCATGATAACACCACGTTAATTCTTCCTTATTCTGCTAAAGATGCAACTTTCCAAGGCAAATATTTTTAAATTTTATTTCCCTAAAGCTTTGAGGGGTCCTATTCTATAATGTAAGGCTTTTGGGGTCAGTAAAATTACTGAACATTTTAGTGAAACCTGAAAATATGTATCTTTAATTCTTAGACATATGTACACCATCTGCAGCATGATGTCTACATAAGAGCTCAGAGTTCAGGAGGGAAACACACGTGGTTGAAAGCTCGGTCCCAACCCACCAACATGAAATACCCCGTGTGAGTTACACGTGTTCTCTGGCTTACTCCATCTCCTCACGTACAATGGGGACTATTCAGGGAAGCACTTCACATGTGCTTCTCTTAATTCAGAGATGAGCTCGGGGAGGAAGAGAGGGGACAATTTCACCAGCAGTTGAATGACTGCTCATCATTCCACTCCAGCCTCTGCCCTGGAGGCAGAACCAGATGGGAGATGTAAACCTACGTATGGTTCCCTTGCTTCTCAAAGCATGGCCACCTCCTCATGCCGAGGAAGTCTAATATTTTAAAGGAAATACCTCTTAGACATCACATCTCCCATCCACACCAGCTTCATCTGGTGCTCAGTCAATCTGTTTCAGAGCTGGAGGAAGCTGTCTGGGTGAGCTGACCTGTACAGAGATATGTTAGTCTGTCTTCAAGATGATACTTAGGGGATGGTAACTAGTGATTCTGATTTCATCATATTCCAGTTGCATCTGACTGAAAACGATGACTAACACCCACGAACCTCTGGCCCCTATTAAAAGGAAGTCAGTCCGGAGTCTACCTACTGCCCAGCTCCCAGGGCTCTCCTGAGAATAATTAGTATAGATTGGCCATGAGTCTTAAATGCATTGGGAACAGCTGTTCATTAGCCAGGAGACTTTTTCCCTTAGAAAAGAAAGTAATGGAGAAATCTCACAAAATAAAAAAAGGGGCCATTGAGCCCTAAAACCTACTCTCTTGACATCTTTCATGACACAGTCGTCTTGAAAAACAGGCCTTGTAGGGGAGTGGGGAGTAATTTTCTGGAATTCCATGAGCATATCAAGAGCTATGCCTATGGGCCTAGGTCCCAGAGGCCCAATATGCCCAGGGCAGAGAGAATTCAGGATATAACCTGGGGAGATATCCACCTCCACCAGCTTGGTTCTCCAGCAGGTTTCCATCTCCTTCCATAGCACGTGCAGGAAGGTATCGGGTAGCTCCTGTACACTGCAGGGGTAGATGGGGAAGGTAGCTGATGGTACTGGTTGCCTAACTTACCCAGCATTGTGCCAGCATCAGCAGAGTCCTCCTCCAGCCTGGGGCTGCAAACTACATGACAGAGCCTTGAGTTCATGGGAGTCATGGCTGACCTCAGGGGGACACATAGTCCTTGTGAATGCAAAGGTGGAGCACAGTCAGCAAGCTGAGAGTTCCCCTGCTGTAGACTTGAGTAGCAGTCTAAAGATGCCAGTAGATTGGGCAAGGGACCCTGTCACCACTGAGAATAGCAAGGGTCCCATGTTAGTCGACTTGGGGTACCATGACAAAATACCACCAACTAGATGGCTCAAACAACAGAAATGGATTTCTCACAGTTCTGGAGACCAAGATGTCCAAGATGAAGGCGCTGGAAGAGTAGGTTTCATTCTGAGGTCTCTTCTCTTGGCTTATAGGCTGCTATCGTCTCACTGTGTGCGCTCTGGCATCTCACAGGGCCTCTTCCTTGTGTGCTCTGAGAGAGAGACAGAGACAGAGACAGAGACAGAGGCAGAGACAGAGAAGGCTCCTTGGAGTCTTTTCTTATAAGGACACTAATTCTATCAGATCAGGGCCCCACCCTCATCACTTCATTTAACCTTAATTACTTTATTTAGAGGCCCCATCTCCAAATACAGGCAGTCACACTGGGGATTAGAGCTTCAACATATAAACATGCAGTCCATAGCAGTTCCATTGCTACCCAAGGACCTGGACACAGAGCTGAGACTCTGTCCCATGCATCCCCTCCCCAGGAGCTAGCCACAAGCTTGAGAAGGAGGTGGTAGTGGCAGAACTTGGAAAGGCCAAGTGTGAGCCTCAGCAGGGCTTCACTTCAAACTGATGGGACATGTACATGAAATGGAACTGTTTGATTCAGGAGAAGGCTTGGGGAGGGGGTGCTATTTCCAAAGCGATTCAGTCCCACGTGTGGGCTGCTTTAGCCATTGACAGCACTTACAAAAGGATTCCGATGAGACAAGATGCTAATTTGCTGTCCCCAGTTAGCAGTAGGGTGGAAGCTCCTAAAAGGGCCAGGTCAGGAATGGGATATGAAGAGGTAACGATTGATTTGCTTGAGTTGAGGCTGCTGTGATCCAGCAGGAACACACAAAGTCCATGACAGGTGAGTGTCACTTGGTTAGTGCTTAGGAAAAAACAAACGTAAGCCATTATTTTGGGAAATGTTCAGAATGTGCCCTGGTTTCAGCAGTTTTCTGCTCAGGTTCTTGTCTCTGTTTAGAGATTGTTCAGCAACCGATCAGAAAACGCTTCCTGAGCTGAAGGCGTGGGTGGAGGGGGAATATTAATCAACTGCTAATTGGTAATTAGGGTTGAAACACCCCATCAGGAAAAAATGCTTCCATGGAAACACGCATCACCATCTGAATCAATGCTGCCTTCTAGAAACACCGGTGTCCACACACCGCAGTTCAATCCATGAAAAGGCACTTGTTTTCCATTGTAAAGCGCTAGGCTCAGTCTCTCGATGCAATGTTACACGCTACCAAATAAAAGAAAAAAGAACCAATAACAGACAAATATTCTGAATTATTCTGTCATTTTGATTTAACAAACATGTCAGCTGAGAGAACAAGACCAGGTATTTTAACTATGTCAGCATATAATAATTAAATCTGGCTTTACTCGCCTTTGGGCATATTTTTAGACAAAAACAAACACAAAACCTCTGTCTATGTACTCAGTAGCTTTTAATGTTAAGCACATATTTGGCAACGTGTACCCGGTAAGCGGGCTGTCATCACTAACTCCTTGGTATCCACGTGATAACATCGGTCAAGAGGAACCATAGCGGATAAAACACAAAAGTGTGAGTTTATTTCTTTATAAATTGGCAGCTGTGAAAAGATTTATAATTTCCCTCTCACTGACATCACTGGGCAGGTAAAGCAGGCAGCCCCACTGGCTTTGATGAGAGGATATTACCCGGCCTATGGAGTTAGCACGGGTGACAGTCGTAATATCTTTTCCCTGATGTTAGTTACAGCTGTTGTACCATTTCAGGCACATCAGGGAAGTAGAGATGTTTAAACAGAGGAAGAATGCTCTGAAAGTCATCAAAAGGACACTTTTTCCAATGCCATTCGCTCTTGGTGCTATTTAATAAAAATGATTTAAAGACATTCATTTATTTTTTCCTCAGTGGCAATTCAGATCATAAGCTGCCTTTTCTTTCCTTTGAAGCTTTAATAAGAATAACCGGGCATTTTTTTAAGATTCTAGAGGCAAGTCCGGTCTCTTCCTCCCCTCTCCATTCTTCAAGCTCCTGATGCAAAAAGATCTGAGAGAAGGGCCACGGGTTGACATCATGTTGCCGCCCGCACCGTGGCAGGTCATGGCAGCATCCAGAATGTGTATGGGAAAACCTCAGAGAAGGAAAAAAAATAGAAGGATTTCAACACCCCTGCCCAACACACACTCCAGGCAATTACCTAAGACCATCTGTTGGGGGGATCTTAGGATCTAAACAGTGCCTGAGGCAATTGACATGACTTGAAAAAAAATCCTCGAATTTCAGAAGTGACACACCAGAGTCGTGGCTCCATTCCATGTGGCTGAAACATCTGTGTGAGCAAAGGAGTCCCCCACACCCAAGCAGTGACTGTGGGGAGACAGGGGCAGTCTGATGGAGTAGCAAGGGTCTTCCAGGTAGCCTGCCCTCCTGCCTGAGTGGGGAAATGTTTCATCAGTGTGGGACGCTCAGGAGAAGGCTGGGGAGATTTCCAAAGCCATTCAGTCCCAGGTATGGGCTGCCCCAGCCACCAACAGCCACGTCCAAAAGGTTTCTATTAGAGCTAAACATTTGTGGGTAATTATCAAGTGTTGATAAAAGCACATATACAGTGGACTCTATAATGTAGACCCCTCTGCTAATGAGCTCATTTTAATCACCAAACAGAGTATTTCCTTTGCTTTTAATGCTCATGCAGACGCTCTCACACAGACCCACAGTGGATCGTTTTTCTTGTATTTCCTAAACCCAGAGCTCTCACGTACCAACCGTCAGATACCTCCTGTTGGGTAGCCACCCCGCCCCACTTCCTCTTCTCTTGTTCTGCCTCGGATGTCCCTCATACTCAGACCATTGGTCATTTGATGCAGTCAGAGACCAGGCCCATTGCCTGCAGTTTTTACACCAAGTGTTGAAATGGGAGAACTTAAGGCATCAGAGTCTCAACAGCTCTCCCACAACTGGCTGTTTCACAAATAGCTCCTTCAAAGAGCCCTGTTACAACGGAGCAAGCATTTGCTGACTCACTCGGGGAGCACACAAACTTCCAGGAAGTTTGGTTGGCACTAGACACTGGCTAACGAAACCAAGGCAATTGTTTTTCCATTATTCCATTACCGGCTGGCAGAGAAAACAACCAAAATAGAAACTGCTCCTTCGACATGAAGTCATGGAGACCACAGTGAGATGGCCTGGTGCTGTCACCACCTGGACACCTCACATTATTTCAGATGCTTCTTAGTCTAAGCTCATGAATATCCTCTAACCGTCTTTACCCCTTGCCGCCAGCTGTGTCACTGAAGAATTGTTTTGGGCCAGAACTGAAACGGACTCAGATGTAAATAAATCTATTCCAGAACAGAATTTAATGATTGAAGTTACAATGGCAAATTCTATTTAGAATTTTCCAAATCCTCAAAGTATTCCCTGAAGTCTGATTTTAACAACAGAATTCAGAAAATGGGTAACCAGCTCCTGAGAGAAATATAAAGGACAGCAGTTACGATTCTTCAGGGGTTTCCTTTCATATGAATTACAATATAATTACATTATATCTCTGCTAACATCTTTCATAATAAAAAAGAAATGCTGGCTATCTGAAATTCCTTCCTCAGCATTGAACGACAACTTTAACAATAACAAGCCAAAAAAAAAAATTAGTTCAACAGACACCCAAACATTAGTTTCCAGCTTTGTCCTGAGCTAGCTGCCCAGAGAAAGATCAGCTCACACCAGCTGTCATATTCCTCCCCTAATTCTCCATTCTAGCCCCTTAGTTAAGACCTGTTCTCAGAAGTACCTGACTCCGTGGCATTTCCTCTCAAACTGATGTTTATTTATTCTTTAGAGTTTAAGATTGGGCACTGGATTTGCAAAGGGGATGAGGCTCTTTGTGGGCATTTTTGAAGGTTGGCTCCAACAGGCATTCCATTCTCTCTTTAAATGTCAAACAACGTAAATCCACTTCCTGAAAAGTGTCATAGAACAGTCTAGAAGTGGTTGGGCCCTGAGTTTAAATGATTGATTGGGAAAAGCTTTGGGAACTCTCTGAGGATGTTGAAAAATAAGAAGAGCTATGCAGGGAGTTTGAAACCAGCCTGGGCAATGTAGGGAGACCCTGTCTCTTCAAAAAATTAAAACATCAGCCTGGCTAATTTTTGTATTTCTTGTAGAGACAGGGTTTCACCATGTTATCCAGGCTGGTCTTGAACTCCTGGGCTCAAGTGATCCTTCCATCCTGGCCTCCCAAAGTGCTGAGATTACAGGCATAAGCCACCGTATCTAGCCATGTGCAGGATCTTTATCTGGAAAGACTGTCCTTACCCAGTATCATATATATAATTTAAATGTTTTTTAAGAAATCACTTAAAGTATAAATAGAAATTCAGTGTAACATCCCGGAAGAGACTTAATGAGTTCAAGAAAGCGGAAATTAACCTGAAGGTAAGCCTGTTACCTTGCTAAAATGGTTTCTGAGAACGAGAACATGAGAGGAAGGAATTTACGAAGCGCCCTATTTATATTGGCTGATTTTTGTTGTAGCAGTACCCATGAGTTTAATGGTCTTACAAAGCTGAGGGATTACAGGAGGACCAACTCACAGCCCCTGTGCTCTTAGGTTTCCCAAGACAGTCCTAACTTCCGCCTCTACTTAGAATAGAAAACAGTCATGACGTGTTTCCTTTGGCTAGCGATTCTTCCAAGCATTCAACACTCACTGACTTATTCAGTTCCCATAACAACCATATGAAGGGAGCACTATAATTGTCTGCATTTTGTGGCTGAGGAAACAAAGGCAAGGTTAAATAACTTGCTGTGCCAGATACTGATTCTATTCCCTCTCACCTCCAAATTCACCCTTTTTGCCTGCTCTGTTAAAATGGAACCAGGCCCTTTAAATATTTTCCCTTAGCCAGCTGACACAATGGTAAGCTTTGTCAGCAGAGCATGCTAGAGAGAAACTGCAGGAGAAAATGGTGCGGCTTCCCAGAGATAGTGCATTTGCTCAGCCAGCTCCAGCGCCAAGCCCTACAGGTGGCATGTGGCCAGCAACACTCAGGGCCAGTTGCTTCCCCAGCCCCCTCCCTGAGGTGGTGTTGTAGCAGTGCCTCTGAGGAGATAGCTCCCTGTGCATCCTAGAGGGCAGATCTCTGGCAAGTTCCAGAGAGACTTTTAGATTTTCAACAAGTTCCATTGGCACGCCACCATAAAACCTTCTCCATCACCTGCCGAGCCATTACGGTTCCCTCTCAGCCCAGGGCTAGGAGGGACACTCTTTCTAGGACTCCTTGTATCTGCTGTACTCACCTATATTCTTCAGGGTTATCTTTACTCCTTACTAGCCAACCTTTTGCTACTCTAATCTGCTATTAAGATTAATGATTAAATATATTAAACGTTTCCATTCAAATGACTGTATGGTTTCTCTCTGCTAGTTGGACCCAGACTGACACCCTTGCCTAAGGCCACATTCCAGGGAGCAGCAGCCAAGACTGGAAACCAGGCAGCTGGGTTCCCGAGCTTCCATGCTTGACAGTGACAGTGTTGTCAGGCCCTTGTGTGGGCAGGAGGGCACAGGTCTAATGCAGTGCGTGCTGATGTGAGGTCTCTAGTTCATACTGAAAGAAGGCAGAGAGGACATGGTGTCAGGAGAGAACCCCAGGGTGGAATTTTAAACAGTTTGCAGCAGATGGGTAAAAGAAAGGCATTTCAGAGAGGACCGTATGTATGGCAGCGGGAGGAGGGAAGGAAGGGTGACAACTTCAGGGAAGGACAGAGGTGTCACCGGGCTCCTGCTTCATCCCCAAAACCTTCGTTTCATTCCCAGTAAGAATCCTGGTAAGATCTGGAGTTTTCAGGATCCAAAATCTTGCTCTCAATGGTTTTCCCAGCTTTTCTCTTACCAGCTGTCTAGGAGGCAATGTTCCCCACTGGAGCATCTAGAAGCACAAGGACTTCCATGGTGGTCAGAAGTGGAAGAGGATGGGGAGCAGGTCAGTGGCACCTGCGGGGCCTTGGGCAGCATTTTATACCTTATGTTCTCTATCTTGCCTGTCTACTTCATAACAGAATATATAACAGGGAAATACTTGCATGTTTATAATAATTGCATTTATTTCCACTTGTATTGTAAAAACTAGCTTGTTCTTAGCTCCCCAAACACACATATTTATAAATAATGTATATTATAAACATTTGGAAGAACAGATAAGCAAAGCTGGAGCCATTAGGCTATTTCTTAACAAAACAACTTTTTTTTTTTTTTTTTTTAATGGGACAGGGTGTGGAGTGTTATAGAAAACACTGAAGTTACATTAGAGCTTCCATAGAAATGGATTCTTTTCCCTAGTGAGGAATGGTGCGGGGGCAGTGGTGGCTGAGGGCCACTCTGACTGCTCCAGGTCACAAAGAGACGGGCTCCTCGTTCGGCAGCCTCGGGCATTGCACCTACTGGTTTCCAAGCCAGCCTCCAGCGTTGGGTGGTGCACAAGATCAGAAAGTTTTAAAATATACAAAATGATGACCCACATTTTGGTATTTGCATAACTGGCAGGTGTTGGGATTAGTACTTAAAAGGAGATGGATTTGGATCCCAAGAGTTTGATGTAAAATATTTCCCAGGGATCTAAGCAAACTCGCTTGTATAAGGCCTGTCTCATTGGCAGGAAACAGCAGGGGAGAAGAAATCAGAAGCAAAAACATGAAGGAGACCGTATCTAGTGGGTTACATCGAGGGGGGTTTCCCCACAGCAGATTGTTGACCAGTTTCCTCGAGGATTATTGTTTCTGTTTGGCTTGGGTAGTAATTCAGGAAGTGATGTCTTCTTTTATGGAAAAAAAAAAATCAAAAATAAAATAAGTGTTTTTCTATCATGAAGATAATGCTAAGTTTAATGGCGTGTCCGGCATGTGAAGTCCTCCCAGGTCCAGGTAGTGCGGTCGGCAGGGCAGCCTGCGGCTAGACCGCATTCCTTTGAAGGAGTTGGTCCAGTAATTGCTAGAGAAAAAGGGAAACAAAGATGTCAAGTTGAGATTCGGCATCTGTGCACCACACACATCACACCTGCTGGCAACGAGGCCATTACCTTTTTGAAGACTTCGGCACGGAGTCTGTTACTTTGTAAGATCACCCTTTTCCTTTGTTCTTCTTTCTTCTTTTTAACTTCCGGCAAGTTATTATAGATTCTGAAACAGATTCGGAAAACATTTGGGATGGTAGCTTGACAGCGTGCTCCCGCCGTGGGGCTGCATCCTGGCCTGTCGGCAGGCTCTTACATTTCAAAGGGAAGACCGCTGCTTATGGGCTAGCTCTCAACTGTAGGATACCAGGACGAAGGGCTTTCCTGACCATACCCAGAAGCTGCTGCAAGGCAGGGGATGGCACTTTGTCCAGTCCGACCAGGGGCAAAGCTGGAGAGGCCAGTTGCTTATTTAGAAGTCAATGTTTCTGTCCCTCCATTCTCTATGATAATAACTTAATCATAAAACGAAGGATTCTAAACCTACTGTTTTGTATTCTGATAGTAAACTTGTTTCCAAATACCTTCTTACCACTCAGTGTTTGCCTTCCTGTGACTTAGAAAAGGAACAAATGAATGGAAGTGGCAGGAACTGTAATACTGGAATAAACACATATGAGAGTGTGTGCTTTTACCTCTAAATCCATTGCACTTTTAACTAAGGGCCCAAGGGATCTTCCTCTGGACACTTCTTTCCTACTTTCTAACAGACACTTCATGTACTGATGCCAGCTAATATTTCACTATAATCCACGGACACAGCAGAGTCACTGTAGCCTGAGCATTTGGGCTGCTGTATGTGTGACACTAAGCTAAAACATCTTTCTCTCTCTTGTGTTTGAAAGCCAGACAAGATGTAGATGAGATGTTCCACTGTTGAAATGATAAGGACAATGTAGAAAAATGATGGTGACAGTCTTTGCTTAGGTATTGGGCACTAGGCTTGAACTGTTTGACATGAATTATTTCATTTCACCTTCACCACAGTTGGAAGAGGCATATAGTATCCCACGGTTATATAAATGAGAAACACAAGCCCCAGTAAGATCAGGAGACTAAAGTCCCTTGGCTGGCTCGTGGTGCACTGGGATTTGAACCTTGATCTGTTTGACTCTTACTACACAACACTATCACCCAACCATATGACATCAAGCTACGTGTGAGATCCTGGAAATGCTGGTGCCTGGCATGGTGTCTAGCATGCTGTAGGCATGAACATGGGTTGAATGAATGCATGAAAAAATGAACACATACTTGCCACATTCAGGAATGATTCTAGAAAGGACTAGGAGGAAAACTGTAAAGGAGTTTGTAAGAAAACGGGCATGTCTCAAAGCTCTGCAGTGGGAATTGCCTCGGATCCATATAGACTGATCTTTCTGATACTGACCCTCTCAATCACCTGGCGGAGTGGCTAATATCAGGTGTCAACTTGACTGGATTGAAGGATGCCTGGATGGCTGGCAAGTTATTGTTTCTGGGTGTGTCTCTGAGGGTGTCACAAAGGAGATTGGCATTTGGGTCGGTGGACTAGGAGAGGAAGAGCCACCCTCAATGTGGGTGGGCACCATCTGATCAGCAGCCAGCGTGGCTGGAACAAAGCGGAAGAAGGCAGGGCAACCTTGCTTGCTGGGTCTTCTGGCTTCCTTCTCCTCCTCCTGCGCCTCCTGCCCTTGGACATCAGACTCCCAGGCTCTTCGGCCTTTGGACTCTTGGACTTGCACCAGCGGCTCGTCGGGGGCTCTCAGGCCTTTGGCCACAGACTGAAGGCTACGCTGTTGGCTTCCCTGGTTTTAAGGCTTTTGGACTCAGACTGAGCACTACTGGCTTCTCTCTTCCCCAGCCTGCATATTGTGCGACTTTGCCTTGTGGTCCTGTGAGTCAATTCCCCTAATAAACTCCCTTTTATATGCATACATCCTATCAGTTCTGTCCCTCTGGGGAGCCCTGACTGATACATCTGGGAAGTCCAAACTAAAGGCTCCTCGGTCCCACTGAATCACAAACTTCCCATTCAGTATTTTCTTAAAAGAACTTCTGTGTATACAATGGACCACTCTGCAGACCGTCAAAACCAACAAGGAAAATGATCTGTTTGTCACAGAAGGGACTCACAGATACAAAATGAAAAAGCAAGCTTTTGAAAGATAATGAGTAGTATGATACCATTCACGGCTAAAAATCATTTAAGTGTACATGCACAAATAAAAGTCTACTTTAAAGCAAAGAGAAAGGCCTGACAGGATCCACAGGAGATATCACTGTTGGTGTCTGAGGGGCTGGGGCGGGGCAGGGAAAGTGGACTGGGAATGGGAAGGGGAACCGCTGGTCATGAGGGGACTTCAGCTTTATCTCCATTGTTTGCATTTTTCAAATAAAAATGTAATTAACAATATAATTAATAGCAAAGAATACAAAGAAAGGAAGGCTCCAGGTGATTCTGTGGGTGAGCCAGAGTCAGAGCCCACCCAGGGTACAATCCACAGAGCAAAGCGTAAACCCAATTGCCAAATCCACCAGAGGAGACCAGCTTGGGGAAGCCGATTACTCAAGATGCAACATCACCCAGCTCACTTGTCGTCTTCGAGCCTCAGTTTCCTCTTCAGTAAAATGATAGGGCAATACTCTCTGACTACTTATGCTGCTTTGAGATCTATTATTTTAACTGCTTAGTTTGCAAGGCTCCATAATGGTGGCTTTGGGTTTGGGGACTGGGAGGGGAGGATTTGGCTGAAAATTTTCAGTAAATTGAAAAGGGAATGGTTCTGGCATGAGGTATATGCAACTTTGTACTTCTGAAATAGCAAGTCTTAAAGCCCCGTGGCCCTTTAAAACCCCCAATTAGAATGCTACGAATCAGGTCTTTAATGGGACATCTCCCTTTTCCTCGTTTTCACTTCCTTATTTACCAAGAGGCTCCGAATAGATGATCAGAGTTACCTAATCACCATGGAAATAACATAATCACAGCAAAAGCAGAAATTGTATGCCTGAAGTGGAGAGAAAAGTATTTTTCCTATTTCAATGGTTTCTTTAAGTGTGCTATCAATTTGATTTAATTATTATAATTCCTCCCTGTGCTAGATATTTTATTATAAACTAATGACATTTTACTTGCATGAACTTGGCCAACGCTGCTGAGCTATTACATTTTGGTTAAGAGGCCAGATCTCAGAAAGAATGGCCGCCTTTGTGTGCACCGGATTGGTGAGAATTATTGGGAGTCTTGAACAGCCACCAGCCAGGCAGAGTAGGGAGGATGTCCAGGCAGCATGGCTGCCAGGTCTGCTGGAGACAGGGCACCAGGAAACCAGCTCATGGCCCCTCCGAGGCTCCACTGGCTCCCAGGTGCCATCTGCCTCCAAGTTTGGATCCTTTCCTTCAGTTCCTGCCACAGTCCAGACCCTCAGGAATAAATAGCATCTCTCCCCTTCATAAAATTGCCTTCAAAGGTGCAGTGACAAAGAGCTCCTGCCCAGAGCGACAACGGGAATGCACAGGAGTTCCAGCTCAGAGTCTGGGAATCTCTTAGAGACCAATTACGGGATCGGTTCAGAATCCAAGACCTACCACTTTCCTAAGGTTTTTCCAAGAGCAGCATTAACATTCAAAAGCACATTCCGACAACCGTACCCACTTTAACCGTTTAATCGGATTTGCAGCCAAAAAGACCTCAGACCTTAAACATGGACCCAGAAGTGGTGGTCCCATTGGAGGGCACTTGAATCCACCAGACCAGCCCGCCCCGCCACTAACTTCTTTGCACACCACACGATAACCAAGTACCTCTTAGATCGCATATGCATCTCCTTCTCTGAAATGTACCGTTCTTTGGGTTTAAACAAGTTATCTGGAAAAAAACAGAAAGAGAATTAAGTTCAGAAGGCATAGAATCTCGCATATTTCTAGAGAAACACTGTGGTGGATTTAGTACATACTCTGCTAACTGATTCTTATTCTAAGCCATATCCTGAGTCTAAGCCGGACGCAGTAGAGACTGATGCACCGTAAGTGGTCTTATTGACAATTGGCCAACAACAGGCCTGGTCTGACGATAGTTAATTAAGAGCATGAAGTACAATGTTAGCATCTAACCTACTTTATGCAGAGCAAGACCTCTGAATGCTTCCTTTAGCAATAGAGCCATGGTTTTCTGAGGAAAGTGCCAGAGTTGCAAGGTCATTCCTTTCAATAGAAAAGTCCCTACACTAGGTAGGTGAGGCCTCCAAGGACAAGGAAATCCCCCACCTATCCGTAGAGCGTTTTGCAAGAAGGAGGTTTCACTGTTGTCTACAGCCTCCATCAGAGCTGCTCAGCCTCTGCAAGGTGAAGACCACCTTGCCCCCTTCCTAAGGTCGGGAAAGGTAATGAACAACAACAAATAATCATGTGTGCTCAGTATTCTTTGATTAATAAAGTACACAGTAGCTAAAAATCACTATGAGACTGGGATTCTTTTCATTCTAAGTACATATCCCTAACCGTAATGGTGTTCACAGATGGCACACTTAAAAATCACGTGTGTTTAAAAAAAAGTGTATATCCTTTCGCAAAAGGTGAAAAGGGACTGTTGCAGTAACTCATTTCCCACGAGACACTCAGCTATGTAGATTAACAAAGGAATGTGTAAATGCTGTGGGGTGCTTGTTGTATGGGGCTATGTTTGAGCAACTGCCATGCTTCCTAAAACACCTGGGCAGTAACCCACTCATCCAGCAGAAGCAGACAGGCAACTTAGCCCTTTGCCAAGCAGCAGAGTTGGAGAGGGCTTCCCGCGATCCCCAGTGAGGCCCTGGGTGTTTCTATTCACCTCCTCTCAACCCGGGGCTGTCCCTTTGCTCATCAATCCAGTGCAGCAACCAAATATTTCTCAGGCTTGAGAACAGACAGAATTTTCTAGGAATATCTAAGAAGGTAGGATAGACCGAAGGATCCTAAGAAATTTCTTCCTCTCTGGAGAAACATCACACAAAAATGGAGTGGCTGGGCTTGTCCCTTGTCTGGTTATTCAATCATGAAAAAGAAGATGGCGGCATCACTTAACTTCAAAGACAAGACTCAAAGGAGAAATACGAAAAAGAAATCAGAATATTTCCTACTAAGTGGTTGTACTGACAACTGACCAACAGGGTTGACCTTGACAAATTAAACAAGGGTGCGAAGCACAATGTTAGCAACTAACTTACGTTATGGAGAGCAATGCCTTTGAATGCTTCTTCTCAGCAACAAAATCATGGTTTTCTGGGGGCAGTGCCAGGTGCAAGGTCACCCTACCCATAGAAAATCCTTACAGTAGGTGTGAGGCCTCTAAGGACAAGGAAATCTCCAGCTTTTTCTAGAGCCATTTGCAAGGAGGAGCAGTGAGAAGACAACATCACCATGGAGACTGCAGTGGTCCAGGATGCCTCCCAGTACCCAGCGGCCCCAGCTTCAGGCAGCACCAGGTCAGAGCCAAGAGCCACAGAAACACCCCAATGTCATTTTCAAGAAAGAAGGAAATGTCAGCTTCAGTCAGTCAGGCTTTTGGGCAAGCAAACATGTGACTCTTGACAGTCACTTATTCCACTTAGGGAAAAGAAACCTTGTACAAAGAATTAGACTCAAGTCCAGCTTAGCAACCCTCATGAGCTACTCAAGATTAGGGTGAGGCCAGGGCAGACGGACGGTGCCCTGAGGGGATTAAAAGCATTACAGATAGCTTTTGTAAGATTTTGATCATCTTGGTTCAACTGTTTGTGGTCTACTCTGGGAAGCGAGATTGTTTTTTTCAGTTTGTTTCTTTAGAGCACCTGATACCACAATTAAGCTTTGCTTTGATTTCCAAGAGGAAACAAAAGCAAATGTGGAGCTCTCTGACACTTCACTGTTGTGTTTTCTCAACTCTGCTCAGCCTGCTGTGCCACACAGAACTTTTGATTCTGGGCCCAGCAGCCCATGTTGGGTGCAAAACAAGCAAGACTGTGTCCAAGGGGGCCTTCCCCGCTGGTGACCTCAGCCCGCACCCCGGCGGAAGTGTTCGAAGGTTGGATGCTGCTGACTTTGAATTTTCCTAATGGTTCCCAAGCTCATCTGATAAGTAGCGGGGTCTTTCCTGGCCGGGAGGAAAGAGAGGTGAGGACGTGGTTTGAAATAGAGCAAGTGCATTGCCAACAGCTCCTAACCTCACTTTAGTGAAAGGAGCAGAACTCCCTGGAGCAGCTTTGGGTGCTCTGAGAGAGGAAATGGCTCATGGTTGCAGAAATTGTGTTCTGGGAGCCCTGACCAAGCAAGTGCTCCTCTGTTTCCCATGAAACCAATCCAAAATTCATTTCTCAGATATGTCTGTCTTCTTCCTTCTACATTTAAAGAGTAGTTGTGTTCGTAGGGGATGCACAGAAACAAAAATAACAGATGATATCCTCCCTTCATGAGATTTCATTTGTTTAGGGAGAAGCTGGACAAGTCACAAACCAGCTAATGTATCCGGCAAATGCTCTGATGCAAAAGAAATGCCACCATGTGTCAAAGGGGGACTGGGGAGGCAAGAAGGCCCCGTAGGGGAGGAGATCTTTAATCCAAGACCTGAATGACCACAAGGGCAGGTGTGGGAGGATCTGGGAGAAGGGCACAGTGAGCTTCTGCAGCAGGAACTGAGAGAGAGTCATCGAGGTTGCGGTGGGAGGGAGAGTGCAGAGGCGAGAGCTGAGACCACTTTGCTTCTCCACCCGAGTGATGCCTTACAACTGCCTGGGGATTTCAACAAAGATACCTGTGTGTTGGCATTAGAATCTCAGCCAAAATCTCCAGACGACTCCAACATGCCCTGCGATTGGAAAGCACCCATGCTGGGCTTTGCAAACCTATTTAGGGAGCTTTGCCAGTCTGTTACTCTTACTTTGTTCGCCTTCAGAGTAAGAGAGATGGAGAGCCACGTGGAGTTTAAAACATGAGTTCTGATGTTTACTGCTAAAAGATGACCACAGTCGCTCTTCAAAACATGAATTAGGTGGAGGAGATGCAAAAATGGTAGCAGCAAGACAGGTCAGGCAATTGCAGCTGGGTGGGGAAAGATGGCTACATGCAGGGAGCCATGGGACTCTTCTGCCCTGTACAGGTAGAAACTGAGTTGAAGGGGCCAGCAGAGGTGAATCAAGGATGACTCCCAGGCTTTGGGTTTAAGCAACCCATTCATTTGACAGTTGTTAAGTTTTTATCTCCTTGGTGCTAGGTGGTAGGGACACAAAGATAAAGAGGACTAAGAGCTCAGAGCCCAGGATGAGAATGAGATAAATAAGGCCTTCAGATGCCAACAGCAAAGTCTGCACAGGGTGAGGGGAGACCTCAGGAGGGAGCGGTCAGGTCCACCAGGGAAGAGGGCATCTGAGAAGACTCTATAATAGGAGACACGTGAGTTGGGTCATGAAGTAGACAGAGATATTCCCCCAATAGCCTGTGGTGAGTGAGGGTGGGTGAAAGGGTGGCTGGCCCAGGGCAACACGGACCCAGCTGCAGCAAGAGATGAATCATCCGTTTCATCTCTCCTGGCCCCACAACTCAGTTTCTACTTGTGCAGGGTAGCAGAGTCCCATGGCTACCTGCACACCCCCGTCTTCCTCAACCTGCCTGTAACTGCCTTCAGGACATGTTCAGGGCGACCACAGGGGTTTCACTTCATGAGATGGAAACCTACCCTGCACGAGCTTTGTTAAAAAAAAAAAAAAAAAACAGAGAAATCCTATCTACAAAATTACTGTTAGTGGAAATTCTGCCTGTATAAAATTAAAGTGGCAGGTGAGAACACTTTTCAGCCTGCTTATGGGTATGTTAAGGCTTAAGATTTTTCTTGCCGGGCGCGGTGGCTCACGCCTGTAATCCCAGCACTTTGGGAGGCTGAGGCGGGTGGATCACGAGGTCAACAGATCGAGACCATCCTGGTCAACATGGTGAAACCCCGTCTCTACTAAAATTACAAAAAATTAGCTGGGCACGGTGGTGCGTGCCTGTAATCCCAGCTGCTTGGGAGGCTGAGGCAGGAGAATTGCCTGAACCCAGGAGGCGGAGATTGCGGTGAGCCGAGATCGCGCCATTGCACTCCAGCCTGGGTAACAAGAGTGAAACTCCGTCTCAAAAAAAAAAAAAAAAAAAAGATTTTTCTTGAAGTCTGAAGTATTCTAATTCACTGATAGGGAGGGAAGAGACTGCAGTTGTGTTTACCTCAAATGATCATTCAAATAGAGGAGGTTTTCTTCACCCAATTAAGTTCTTAAGGTAAACTGCCCATGTCTGTATCCCTGGAAAATACCTTTTCCCCCCAAAAGTCTTTTGCACCTGCCTCATTATTGGATCCAAACTGCAGCGTGTGTTTCTAATTTAATTTGGAAGGCCAGACTTCCTCAAGCCCTTGCTGGTGTCAAAGTCAGCAAACAACCAGGTACCAAGATTTGGGTGCTTCTGAGAACGACTCTAGTGAGGTCAAAGTCTAAATATCCCATTAGTCTCTACAAACACATGGTGTTTACTGTGGCACTCATATCACCAGTAACACACATGCACAGGGACAAGGGGCCTGGACATTCAGACAGTTGAAGTGTCACCAGAAGGCAGCAAAGATCACCCTGCCACCAGCATGACTGGTTGTTTGTGGGGCTCGGCTGTTTTTCCTCCATGCAGAGGTCTTATCTACAGCTCTGACTGCAATCTTCATTTTACGTACTGAACAGGTAATCTAAATGATAATCAAGTTCACACGATTTATTAGGACAATGCCCTCCAGAAGCCTGTTTTCTGAAGTCACCCTGAGCACTTTGAAGAATGTTTTAGACACTTGCTTCCACTATCTTGGAAACTCCAAAACCAAGAGATACCAGTTGG